TGTTTTACTTTGCCACAGTTTGCCACTCAAAACATCTCCTGTAAAACGTATCATTTTATTACTTTTTTTTAAGTTGAGCATTTCAACAGTAATCCACAACTTCTAATTACATATACAAGCAGACAGGGGTCCGTTTTATTTTTCAAGCAGAATTAAAGAGAACAGGGATCTTTGTAAGGCAGATATTTGCTATTTGATAGGAATTAGGCTTGTCAATAAATACTCAGAAGCATTTAAAGAAAGTTGTTAATGATTATTAAAATAATTAATAATGATGTGGTGATTCTTAGGACATCACCTGAAAAAGAATCAGCATTGGTATTACTCTTTACAGATGCACACACATAGCAATGCTGAAAGAATTATAATTTAAACCTAATTTCAAAGTTACTGAGCTTTTGGCTGAATTTAAGACAGATTTTCCTGAGGTTTCTCCAAATGTGTCATTAAACTTGTCCCCTTTCTTTTTACTAATAAAAAAGGCCTTTTTGAACATCATTATACTGTTATTCCGTATGATGCTGATAAAGAGATGTCTCCATCTCCGTTGTCCGTCTTTGTTGTGTCCATACTTCTACTATTTTTAGCGCAGCAAAACCAAGCATGCTCCACTCAGATCTGTAGTTTTTCACTGAAGCGTCCCAGGGGGCGATATTGTGCTGGTTTACACACTATTTACTCAGAAGAGCAGAAGAAGAAGAAGGCCTCAGGTACAGCTGGTAATATTTATATTTAACAAAACCTTTTGACAAGCTGTAGAAGAATTAGGCTTGAGCCTTTTTCTCCTTGACTCAATGAACGAAGTGAAATCAGACTTCTCAAAACTGTAGGAAGAGCTGAGAAAAAAGATCAAAGATGCTTGAAATTCCCATTTACTTGAAGAGAGAGAAGGAAATGTTTTCTCTTGGAAGAAGTATGCAGAACATGCATAACAGAAGTATTTCTGCTGCTGCCAAACACAGCAAGAAAATGGAAAGCAAGCAGGTGTCTGGCAGACTGATCAAACCTTCCTCTATAGATAACCTCGCTTCTTGCTTCTGGCGATACGCTGCCATCTTGTGTGCAAATTATCCAAATTCACAGACATGAAGCAGTCAATAACACACTTCCTGTGCAACATAACAATATTCTGGGAGCAGGAATTTTTTACAGACAAACCATCAAAATTAAATACTAAAATATGTGTGTGTGTGTGTGTGTGTGAGGGAGGGGGGGAGGGTATCAAATGAGGACTAAATCCCTAAAATAATTTAAAGGTTTACGTGAAGGAACTGAAATAGACGCCACAGTGCAAACAAAATCTTTGAAAGACCTTCTGGAGCCTGAAAAACTTTAAACCTTTCAAGAAAGTCTTGCATCCTAATCACTGAATAAAAGGAAATTATTTTTTGGCTCATAATACATAAGTTATACTGTGTAAGTTAAAGACATTCTGGCAACTAAAACAACAATGTCAATTTTGTCATCAAAACTGTAATTTATTTTTCTATTCAAAGTTGCATTGGAATAAATATTCTGTTTTTATATTTACTCCTTTCATCTGCTGGTTTTAGAGATGCTCTATATATTCAGCATTTATCCTCTGTGGCAAATGTGTGCGTGCGTGTGTGTGTGTGTGTGTGTGTGTGTGTGTGTGCGTGTGTGCGTGTGTGTGAATGTGTGAAAGACAAACTGCCGGCGAGCATTTCTTTCCCTGTCTGTGTGTGTTTGCGTTTGCACGTGCTGCTCCGCTCCTCTCTCCGTCAGGGTAATTCGGCATCCGTGTGTAATTTCTTTACCATTTTGGCTTTGATCTGAATCCGAGCCCTGAAGCTTATCATGACTTTGTGTTGCCTCCGTGTAGTCGGGGATGGATGCTGGGGGTAGAGTCGGAAAAGGGGTGGAGAAAAGAGACACACACAGAGAGAGAGTTTTATTTTTAGCTTCCTAGCCCCACATCCAAGTGTGTTTAATCAAGTGTGTGTTGGTGTGTGTGTGTGTGTGTGTTTGGATTAGTGTCTTTAGCCTCTTGGTCAGAAGAAGGTAATATGCTTGTCCGAAAGAACTTTGTCAGGCACATTTGTACAAAGATGGTGTAAAAGTGTGGAGTTAGCAGGAGTTTGGGAGGCGGATGAGGGGGGTGTGCGGGGAAAAAAGAGCAAGACTGACGGACACACAACGAGAGACAGCGAGGGTAGAGGGGAGGGAGGAAGACACTGTAGGAGAGGAGAGGATGGAATGAATAAGCAATCCTGCTTTTCCACTTCAGGCACTCGCATCTTCCACAGATCACATGCATGCTTCCTCTCCCTGATAATCTTTGTTCTCCTAACCTGTCCTTTATTTTGTCTCAGCCTCCGTCTCCTCGTACCGTCCAGCAGGTCCTCCTTTGTCCTTCTCCTCGTATTTCCTCTGTCTTTCCCCAAATGTCCCTTTATGTCAGTCAGTAACCCACTGAACCTTTTTCCCCTTTCTGATCCTTCTACTCCAATGCATGCCTTGACACCCATCCAGACATGCATGCAGACAAGTGCACTCACAAACAGACACAGTAGCACAGTTAGAGGTAAAACATAAAGGACAGGGAGATTTGGTTGCCTTTTTTTTGTTGTTGTTGTTGTTTTCTTTCTGCAATGGGAAACTCTGTAAAGTCACTTAAAAATTTCACCAAGAAGGTAAGCTTCGCTCTGAGGTTTTTCACCCTGTGGTCGTCTCCCTTGACTCCCTCTGACCCTCAGTGCATGTTTGTGAAATGGTGTGTCACCAACTGGATCAGTGGCTGTAATATTTGACTCAGTCCCCTCCTGACTGATCCCTCTGTTCATTTCGATACTTTAGTCCCCAGCTGTAGCTGTAAAGTCAAATCAAACAGGGGATTGGTGTAGAATTAGTATCACAGCTTGTTAACGCCTTGACTTTTAGTCAGGATAGTTGACACAGGGTTGTTTCGGAGTATTTGTCCTGCAGCGTTGGTTAGCGCTTGAGATCTTTTCATGATTAGGATCATGTCATCAGACCTAAAAAGTCTTAAATTCCTCTTGTGTTGAAAGCAGCTTCTTATTACTATCAGAGTCTGTCAGATAAAAATCTATGACCAGAACTGAATCACAGTGTCCCCCCCACACCCCCAAAAAAAACATCAAACCTAACAAATTCATCTCATTAGTTGCTGCTCTGGTTGTGTCATCCTTATGCTTGAATGCACTCTCATCATAGCAGCGACCGCCTTCATATCTGCAGCTGCACATCCTTGAGAAAGCACAATATGACAAGCAACTGTTGATGCCATCTGTTCGAGGAGCGCTGCAGAGTTTCTCCTCACTTTCTTCTCTAATGTGTGTATGTGTAGATGTGTGTGTGTGTGTGTTTTATTTTTTTACTCTTCTTGTTAGATTATATAACTGGCACGAGGCTTCATGGTACTTTTCTGGCAGAATGTAGCCCTGCTCCATGCATCGCTTGCTCAGATTACCCAGTGGGCATCCGTTCCTGTGGCGAGAACTGTAGGAATGCACAAATTGGCATTAGGACTGGCATGGTGGCAGATGGAGTGTGAAGGTTGTTTGTAGGATGTCATACAAGTGAAGGAATGTTTCATCTGCCTGTGGTTGTGAGCTCATGTCAGAGAGAGTTTAAGCAGTGGATAAATGGATGCTCGGTTATTCTCTAAGATGTTGAGTCGGTTGCTTTTACAGTTTCTCGTCGATCCTCTTTTGTGGTTTTTAGAGCAGAACCCCCACATTTAATGTTCTGAATTTAATAAAAGATGTGAAATGTTGCCTTTATGCTCCAGTATAATGATGGTAGGAGCGTTTTTGATTTAATCTACAGGAATCTTCCACTCTGAGAGGCAGTGATTGTTATTAATTAGCCTGCAGCTCTCACACTAATTGAGACGGCCGCTGAGAGAACAACATCTGCCCGCTGGTTGATTGACTAATTGGTAATTATAATTTCATGGCTAAGTGAAATTTTACTTCATCGTTTAGGACAAACAGGATTGGTTTACAAAAAGGAAACAAGACAAGAAGATTAAATTGCAAATTGAACACATTATCTCACATTAATATGTTAATGTGAGATTTTAGACAATAATGCCTTGATGAAATGGCTTAGATCAAAGCACGTTTATGCGTGAGAGTGGCCCAGTCAAAGTCAGAATCGGTGGCAAGCCATTAAAATTTCTATTTAGACATTACCTGTCGAATCCAGCTGAGCTGACAAAAAGCTCAAACGTATAAATACGTTTCCAAGAAGCTGTATTCAGTGCAGACATTTTGAAATAAAGCATCTACAAAGAGCTTGGTCCAACATTCAAAAGATAAAATTGACATTTTTTCAATCCTGTTAGAGGCATTTTTCAACGTTGCAGTTCACAACTATGAACATACAATACCTCAAATGTTTTAAAAGCACGAGACAACAGTTTTTAACCCAAAAGCAGGATGGTAATGTACAAGTCAGATTCATTTATGGCATCAGTTGCCTTGTCATAATATGTTACACCCTGTTTTGTTTGACTGGGTTCTTTCATCCATCATATCACACTTTCCTGATTTGACACCCATGTGTCAGTCCACAGTCACCCCCCACCCCCCCACTCCCACCTGCACGCCCTTTGAACCCGTCACCCCGCTCCACTTCCACCCGACTCCTTGTTGACACCACACCTCAACAAAATGAGTCACAGTCTCTACCCCTGTCTTTACCTCTGCTCCCATTTCTGGCCCCTCACCCTGGATGCTGCTCCAGGACAAGAAGAAGAACTACAAAGCAGTGCAGTCCAGTGAGGAGGGGGGATCTGGGGGGGGCCATCTTGAGCCACTAGTAGCCCTGGCCCAGAACGGAATCAACATGCACAACGTGCTGGGGCCTGCATGCATCTTTCTACGCAAGGGCTTCGCTGAGAGCCGGCTGGCTGTACGTAAGTCCAGAACATATAAAGTGCATGCAATCCAAAGGAGATTAGCACAAAATGCAGCTTATGCACAATAACCACCAGCAGAAGATTTCATGATCACAATACACTGTCATAAGCATTTGACAAATGTGGTGTTGCTCAGAGGATGGCGCTTGGGGGACTTGAAAGTCTCACATGGACGGAGTGTGTACTTGGTTGTTGGAAACAAGACAGAACAGTGTGTGTGTCTGCGTGGTGTGTATTTGAGTATAACAAACTGGATACTTGAGTAAAAAAATGGAAAAATGCGAGGAGGGGCTATGGTAATAATTGAAATACACCTTTTCTGGTCTTTATTTCTTTTCATGTTCCTGCAGAAATGCAGAAAAATATGTTTAGTTTTTTTTAGGTTTTTAGTGAACAAATTGTCAGATAGCATTCTGAGTGAGTCAATAAAAGAAATATATTTTGCGTAGAACTCACAGAGGCTCTCAAAAGCTTACATACTCTTGTTAAAAGGGCAGGGTTTTTAATCTTCTTCACACTTGTCACTCGTGTGACAGAGCTAACAAATGGACAAGCTAGGCTAAATGAACTTAGAGCAAATGAGAAAGTTGCACAAAATCAAATTCAACAACTATCAATAGAAGTTAACATATTTTTTTGTGAATTAATTTATGAACAAGTCTAACTACCAGTCAGTTTTAACCAGAAACGATCATCTCTCTGCTTAGAAAGCTTATAATTAATCCAAGTTAACATCAGCATCAATAGAAACTAAAGTTTTGAATGATCTAACCAGAATCCAAGATGCAATCTGACAGAATCTGACCTGAAGAGGGATTTAGACAGGAGATAGACTGTTAAATTATTATATTACAGTCTAATAGATTTAGAGAACATTTGTAAGATGAAGAGGCCAACTATTAGTTACGATTTAAGATGCTGACAGATTCCTAATGAAAAAGATTAAAAAGCTGCTTTAACAAAAAAAAAAAAGAAAAACAGGCATTTTAACAGGAGCGTACACTTATGAGAGCCACTGTACGTATACATTATACCAGCTGAAAAACAAAACATTTATTCCTCACACAGTGAAAATGAAATGTTACAAATCCCATATTTCTAATGTTTGTCTAATTTCTTTTGTTCTACATGCCAAATTTTACCCGACTGCCAAGAGACTCTCAGCGTGTTTTCATCTCTTTGTGATCTTACGGATGAGCTCCTCCTGTCCAGTTGGATGCAAAACCGAAAAATACTGGCACACGTCCAAAAGTCCCTGTTTTTTTTTTTTATTATTATTTATTTATTTATTTTTTTACAGTGTCATGTTGTGTGAGGAATGAGGAAAGTTGGCAAGAGCTTAAACATGTCAGCCACAGTTTGGGTGATAACCTTGCGTTGTGATTTCTTTACAGGACCGAGAGCTGAGGCCAGAAGAGCTGGATGGTATGTCAGACGACGGCGTCAATCAAGTTTAAAGATGTGGTTTAAAATAAAGCTGCCGCTTTTTACTGCTGTGCTACAATCTCACATCTTACATTTTGGAGGAATCCAGTCTCTTATTTTAGTACTTTCCGTCTTAACCAAGAAAAGTAATAAAAAGAAAAATCCTAATAATTCATGAATAATAAATGTAAATTTAGGTATATTTTACCACATAAACTTATGAGCTTGCCCAAGAATTTCTTATAAATGTGAAGCAATGGTCTGTTTCTATTTGGGACTCTCCATAAATGGGAAAGATTAGAAAACATACCAGTCATGTATGGATTTTTAGATACTGACTTCAACTTCAAATTCTGGACAATTCAAGTTTATTTTCCCACTACATGACAGCCATGAGAACCACAGCAAAACTAATAATGCACATTATTTAAAGACTTTTTAAAAGGCTTTTCTACACACGTTTACCAGAGTTGTCGATAATTGTGAACAAAGCTTAAACAATCCAAGTGAGCAATTTCTGAAATATTTTCATGTAATTTTATGATGTATTTTTTTGTCTCCAGAGTTGCGTGAAGCATTCAAGGAGTTTGACAAAGATAAAGACGGATTCATTGGCTGCAAAGACCTGGGGAACTGCATGCGGACGATGGGATACATGCCAACAGAGATGGAGCTGATAGAACTGAGCCAGCAGATCAACATGAACCGTAACTGTTTTGTCTCGTTATATTTCCTCCTGACGTAAAGTCCAACACTGGCTTATCTTCTGCTTTACGTCGTAGCTTTGTGGATTATTTTATTTTATTTTTTTTTGCATGTGACGTGGATTTGAGGTTAACTCTTGTTTTCCTACAGTGGGAGGACATGTTGACTTTGAGGACTTTGTTGAACTTATGGGGCCCAAACTTCTGGCTGAAACAGCCGACATGATCGGAGTAAAGGAGCTGAGAGACGCCTTCAAGGAGGTCAGGAAGATGCCACTACTGTTTGACACTTAACTCAGGACTAATTGACATAACATCTGTATGCATAAATTGCTGAAAAATATTTGTGTCATCTTGTAAAATGAAAAGAGTAAAACCAAGTTGCTTTCATATTTGCAGCAGAGGTAGTTCCTATTCTTTATGAAACGCATTATATTTGCATTAAAGGGTCTCATCCTGGTTCAGACTTAAGATATATACAAAAAGAAAAAAAAACTACACCCAAGAAGTTACACCAGCTGCTTATTTTAACAATCTATTTCTTTATTTTCAGTTTGACACCAATGGTGACGGCCAGATCAGCACAGCCGAACTCCGAGAAGCAATGAAAAAACTGTTGGGACAGCAGGTACGGAGCCGCTCCGAGAGACTCAGCGTCTCTCCATCAATCAGTGTCCGATTGATTTCTGCCCGTCTCTTTTCACGTGCAAATTTAGTCTGAGTGTGTGCCACAGAAGTTGACTCTTTCCTCTCGACTTTACCAGGTTGGACACAGAGATCTGGAGGAAATTCTACGTGACATTGACCTAAACGGAGATGGACATGTGGACTTTGAAGGTGAAATGTTAAGTGTAATAATTAACTTAAGAGGCTACATCAAGCTACTGCAAGCCTTCAAAGTATTGAAATTAAAGCCATAAAACAGTTTAAATAATTAAATGAATGAAATAATCAAATTGCTATTTATGTTCAACATGGAAGGTAAAAAAAAAGAAATAAATCGACAAATAGTGAAGTTTTGAAATTCTGGTACTATTAGTCTTATTTATTTAAAACAAAATTAAAGCTTCGCATTAAGCTGTGCTAACAATAAAGCCTTTTCTCCTTAACTCCCAGAATTTGTTCGAATGATGTCCCGATGAGTTCGGCTGCGACGTGGCATCGGACGTGGATCCTCAGCTGGAGGAGTGCGGAGAAAGTCTGGCGAAGAAAACCGAATTTCTCTGAACTGTGAAAACGGCAAAAACATATCAACCTTGCCCCAAAACTGCCTCGCCTGAGCAGCTGACGAGTCCAGCCGGGAGCCTCACTGTTAATAACACACTGCTGCTGTTCCTCCGAGCATAAACAAAACCGACGGCTGCACTCGTGACTTTTCCAGAGTACATTTTTAAAACACGATTTCCTTTAATAACTGCAACATTTCTACGTGTTTGCCGACCCGATGGGTAATGGCGGATGTGATGTTTGAGATATTTTCTGCAAACACCAACAGCCTCTTATTCCTGACTGTAGCAATTAAGAGTAATTAATACAGCAGTGCGAAGCAAAGCGACACAAAGCGCAGCGAAATCTGTTTTCAATGCAGAGGTTATATGAAGCACAAACGCAAAAAGCAATATAGAAACATTCCATGTCATCTCGTCATGTCTGCGTGCGCGTTTTGTGTATTGTTGATGTTTAACGTCGATACGGACTACAGAAAAATCAGCTTAAGACAAACCGATATTTGTTTGTTAAGTATGTGTAACGTAGCGCTGACTTTTCTGTGACATACATGTGCAATTTCTAGTGTGCAGACGACATTCATTTAGCTGCAATCCTGTAAGAAAAACATCATTAGTACCAGAATAAGCTTTTGATTATTTCTATGTTTGGTTATTACTTGCATGAATAGCAATGAAGTGTGTGATCAGAACGTCATAACTAATCTGTCACTGAGGAAGTCAGCAGATTAGTTAATAAGAGATGTTTTTTTTAGGTGTCATGAAAATGTTTTATTTTGGGGATTTTGTAAGTTTTCTTATTTCGAAAGCCAAAATGTTCCCTTTTGGTGCAACGTTTGTCAGCATTATATACCTCAAAGTGAGCTGAAACATAAATGTCGTCTATTCTCCTCCCTAAACACATTCCAGTCTCTGAAACCTGTGTTACTACTTTATTATCAGTAAATGTAAGGAAGCAAGGTGAGCTTCTTATGCAAAAAGCCAAAGAACGTTTACAAAACCTGATTTAGTTTAATAAATAAAGCTGGTACAGCTTTGCCTGTTCAAGAATGAACATGAGAGAATATGCATGTTTGTTATCTTGAGATATATTTGAATAGGGAAATCCAACTTTGTGGTTTTTATGTGTCTTAACTGTGTGAAACTATGCATGGCAAAACAACTGCAATTTGTAGCAGAATATTTAAAAATAAAGATATTTCAATTGGAAAATGTGTGTTTATAATATAATTTGCATTTTATTTTTATTTGATATTGAAATTACACCATTTTTAAACAGAACCTGAACATACCAATCATAAATATTGTAAATCTTTGAAGTTTGAACCATAATGTGGCTAGAAAAATAAGTGTCAAACAGTTTAAACTGTGTAAATAGCCTTATAAATCCTTATAGAAAGACAGATCCACTTTTTTGTTCTCACTGAATTTAAATCAGACCAATCTTTTATTGTTTTGGGTCAGAGAACTATCCAAATGATTTTAATTTGCTAAATATCACAACATGAATTTGCCAGAGATGTACCACTAACAGAAGTATTTTTAAAAGTGTAAAGAAAATGGAAATTTAAGGCCACAAACCATGTGAAAAAAAATCTTTTGACTTTATTCTCATCCCTGACACTTTGATTTGATCATTTTAATATTTTTCAACAAAAAAAAATTATTCTACAAAATCATCATCGTAACATTTCTTTTAATCAAAAAAAGATCAAAAACAAAAATGTAGGTAATTTTCTAATTTTTCTGCCGTAACAAAAAGCTTTGCTGCAGTGCACAGCAAATCCACCATAATCAGATTTAAGGTTTATTCCCAGTCCACAGCGCAGTGACTGCAGCTCTCATTGGCCACCTGTTGCCAAGTGTTTCTGCAGCGACTTGTTGCTGCTTGTCTGAAAAGCAAACAGCACAGAGTCCATTGTTCTCGTAGATGGAGCACCGACTAATCATCTGTCATCCTCTCAGGTACAAATTCATATCCGACAGACGGTAGGAGGCAATTGTGGGTTACTTTGTGTTGCTGTGAGCTTATTATAAAAAGGTTGAATTGCCCAGAAAGATACAAAAAGAAAATTTCCCAGACAATTTAATTTATTACTCATCTAGAAACAAGAGCTTGAGCTCATAAAGTTTGTTTTTGTGTGTTTCTTATCTTAATTTTCTCTTTTTTTTTAATCAGATCTACATTGTTAAATCCTGACGTCTGACCCAGTCATCGTGGGTTTAAACAGAGCAGCAGGTCTTTTCGTAACACTGGAGGTTTCCATCTCTTAACACTTAATGTTTCCTGCTACACTAAAATCATGGCTTGGTTGACGTTGCCTGTTGACCTGCTCTCCAAATATCTTGGCCTATTCACCGATGTGTGGCTGACTCTGGTGTTTGGCTTCCTAATTGTGCCGGCTGTATTTGGAGTTCCTTTCGGGATCCACAAATACTACATCAAGATACTTCTCAGTATATTTGAGGTGAGTTTGAAGTGTCTCTGGTTTGACATTACTGGAATAAAGATTCTTCATTTTGACTTTTTTTTAAGTGTCACATAAAAACCATAAATACTTGAGACCTCCTCTATCAGTGCTTATAGCAGTCTATTTTAATGGCCCCAACAGCAACTATACCACTAGCTTTACCTTAATATGCATTAATACCAAGGTTGAAACTGTCTTTGCACTATTATAAAAGCTAGTGGTCTCAGCCAATCAGTGCCAAGGAAAGTAGCCTAGCTACAAGCTAACTTTTCTTTGGAATATTTTCCCAAATAGGCAAATTTCCACAAATAAATTGGAGTTATGTTCCACAAAAAACAAAAAAAAAATCAGCAAATAATAAAAAGTTTTGAGTTGATAAGAGGTGCACAAAATTATTTGGGAAAACAATCATGTCCAACTACTTCAGTAATCTCACCTCTGACTCCTTTAGAGCTATTTTTGATCACTTTGACAGCAGATGAATTGAGTTCTTATCACTCAGCCAAAAATCCAATTCTAATCCCCCAAATATTGAGTAAAGAAGAAAAATTCACGTTCTTCATTTAATTACTTTCACAAAATGTACCCACTTTTCCTGCTAAGGTTCCTCACTCCTCCTCCTGTTTACTGTGTTGCATTTGAGCTGAAAAATTTATGAAAAAACTGTTTTATTTATTGATTTATTTATTTTGAACAGACAAAAGTAAAATCAAGAAAAAAGGAAAAAGTTAAAAACAAATGATCATGCCCAAGTGACATGAAATTTTATATTATCTGTTGTAAAATAACACTTTGCAGCAATGTGCAGTTCTACTCCGTGTGCCTAGATGACTTGGTATCATTGGTTGTTTTTTCCACGGAGGTTTTAAAGGCTCTTTTTGAGTGACAGAATTGTATTTAAAAAGACTTATCTTAACACCCTCCCCACTGAGAGAAGAGCTTGTAGCCTCAGGACCACCATCTGAGTTGGTGTTGATATTGTATCAATCTCAGATCCCTGGGAAGTTGTTCATCCAATGCAGTTTCTTGAACAAGCTTAGTTCCTGTGGTTTACCTACTCATGTGGAAGCTACACACATTCTGTCCTGATCTTGTATTTAAAGCGAAAGTTAGCAAATTTGTGGCAAAATGTTAATCTTGGGAGATTGGGAGACACCACGAGTTGATTTGGATATTTTGAGTCATTCTACATGGAGCCACTTGAATGGGAACATTTTTGTTCCAATCCAGCCGTTCGCTTACACGATACTGGTGGCTGGAGTTTCTTAAATTGGCACTTTTTGAAACCAGACCTCAGAATGAAACTTTTCTGTATGTAATACATGTCATTTTCTGGCCAGTAATGTCCTTAAGTCTTACAAAATGCTGTACTTCCCATTTTGATGCATAATGTTTAGGACATTTTAAATTCCAGATAGTTATATTTAATATAAGTATTACATCTATTCATTTGTGTTTGTTCCACAACTCCACAGTGACTCTGTATATTTCTCCCTCTTATATCTGATGCAGAACTTTCCTCCCTCAAATTTATGACCCAATTTTCCAATTGACAAGCTGGCTAGCGAGAGTTTGAAGCTAAAATTGGCCCATAACAGAGTTTATCATCTGCAGAGCACATGTGCTCCCAATCTTCTGTGGAGCTCCAGAGAAAACTTGCTTTCTGATGTCATTGCTTTGATCACACCATTACGTTCTGCTGCACATTTTCTCCTTAAATATCCAACTATGATTCCTGTCTAGTGACCTGAAGAGGCTTTTGTCTGTTTATTTGTCTTTTTTTAGTGGACAACATTACAAATGGAGCTAAAGGCAAAAGAGAAGAATAATCAACTCTACAAACACTACACCAGTGGTAAAGCATTGTCAACCAATTATGTACTGACTCATCTTTCTCTATAAAGCCTTACAATCATATTTTTCTGCTAAGGTATCATAGTCAAAGTCCCAGATTCAACTTTGAAGCAGGAAATTCAAGATCTACGATGTAGTGCTGGTTGTCTGAGTCTGGATCCGCGGTTTGAACTGGCTGATGTTTTCGTCTTCTGTCGGAAAGCCTTGGAGAACATCATAGACGATGACGTGACCAAGCGCTTCTCGGCCCAGAAGTTGGAAAACTGGAACTTACTCACCAGGAGCAACCACAACTTCCGCTACATAAATCTACAACTTTTAGCCCTGTGGATTCTGGGAGTTTTAATCCGCTATGGTGTACTGCTGCCTTTCAGGTCAGAGAGGCAAAGAAGTAGGTTTAGGATAAATTTTTTAGCTGTCTTAAATAACCATTTTATTCTGTGTTTTGCAGAGTAACTGTGGCCGTCACAGGTATTTTTCTGTTTGTTGTTTTAAGTACCGTGGTGGGATTAATACCCTGCACAAAGTGAGTTCTACTAATGCCTCAAACATGAATATAAGTGAGGTTTACGTTGATAGATGCTAAGTTACAAACCTGACAATCTTAGCCACGTGTCTGGATCCATCTAAGCTGATCATTGTGTGTGACCCTAGGTTGAGAACCTACCTTAGTGACAAGGTGCATCTGATGGGATATCGCCTCTGTGTTAGATCTCTGACTGGAATCGTCACCTATCACAACAGGTATGGGATAATTAATGTTCTCAAACAAATCTGCCTTACTGAAAACACTGCAGAGCAATACTGCTGTACAGAGTCAACAATGGTAATGCTACATTTGCAGTGGGAGGAACATCTACATTCAACATAGGCATGTCTACTTTCATGGCAAAACATTTTTTGATCGCTTTCTTTTTCTTTCCATCTAGCAGGATATCTGCTGACCACACTGCTTAATCAGAATCAGTAGAGTTTATTTAAAGTGATTTCCTAGCTGGACTCAAATTTTCAGCAAGATAACTTCTGTCTGTGCCTTGTGTATCTGCAGGGAAAACAAACCAAAGAATGACGGCATCTGCGTGGCCAATCACACGACACCAATAGATGGGATCGTCCTGGCCAATGACCATTGCTACTCTTTGGTATGAAATTTTAAGTGTGTGTGTTTTATTTTTAGTGTGTCAGTTATAAGTAGAGTATTTTTAAAGGCTCGGGGATGAAGTAAATTCAAAGTGAAATCTTCTCACAGGTTGGGCAGCTACACGGAGGCTTGCTGGGATTGATCCAGAGAGCCATGGTGAAGTCCTCTCCTCATATGTGGTTTGAGCGAGCTGAAGTGAAAGACAGACGCCTAGTGGCCAAAAGGTAGCATTACAGACATTACAGCGTCGTGTGAGAAAGAATGTCTTAAAACTGATTTGGTTCATTTAAATAATTGTACCTATTTATTTTTTAGTCTTTGAGTTCATGGCCTTATTCACTTTTAAAAGGAGAGAAGTATATATGAACTTGTGACTCACCAAATTATTTTCAATTCAATAATATAAGCTGTCCACTTCTACTACAGTGAAAATAGTTCAAAATTGTTATGTATAAGTGAAAATAAATAAATACAGTTAAAAAAAACCTTAAAAATGAGTAGCATAACACTAAAAAAAATCCTCTAATTCAGTTATTTTGGTGTTATTTCAGGCTCAGGGATCATGTTGCAGATGAAAACAAACATCCTGTCCTCATCTTCCCTGAAGGTGAGTATGGAAATCCTACATAACTAGATACAGAATCAGAGACTGTAATATTAAATGAATTTAAGCACAATTCTACGGAAGAGGATTAGGGCCACTGGAAAAATTAAAATAAAACAGTTTTGACTTTAATCTCAGAATT